GGATTTCTTTTTGGGTCATACTGTCTGCTGTAGTCTCTCCTGGCTGAAACTACCATCAGGGCACTTGAATCTATGTTATATGCAGAATTCAGCATGATGATAATTACACAGACAACTAATCATCACCAGGAAAGCTATCTGCATGAGACAGGAAAGTGTGTGCAGGCTGTCTGTGCTAGCCCCAAACCACAATACAAAGGAACATGATTAAAAAAAAATGGAAAAGACCTCAGGACTTTGGATGTAGGTGGAGGCTCCTCATTTGTTCCCGGCTTTCCAGACCTGAAATAATCACACAGAAATGATATTATCTGCAATACTGTTTGGCCAATAGCGTAAGAGTATTTTCTAGCTAACTTTTACATCGTAAATTAACCCTTTTATATTATTTTATATTTTACCATGAAGCTCGTGGTTGATCAGTACCAGCGTCTGTCTCCTCCGGTGACTACATGGCTTCTCCCTGACTCCACCTACTCTCTCTATCTTTTTCAGCCTGGCTATATCCTGTTAAGCTATCATCTTTAATAATCAAGGTTCTAGTCATGTTAGTTAGATTTTTCTAGATTTATAGAAATATATTTCAGTTGGATAGGTATCCTTCAAATCTTTCAGAGACCTTCATAATATGGTCTTAAAACTTTTTGTGACAGTGAGACACATCTGTTCCTGGCAGCACCAATGTACTTCAAGAGGAAAATGGGCATCAAAAAAGATCTTCATGGAGTTTGTTAGCCATTTGGGCCAAAAACTGCTCTTGCCAGAACTGCTTGACTAGACTTGCAGGACTCCTAGAGAAATGACTGCTGAAGCTGCCTAAAGAATGTAACAGTCCTTTGGGGGTTCCTGCTTCATGAAAGAGTCTGCCAGACATTCTGCAGCACACAGAAGCAAGTGACTGACAAACTGCCAATATAGGCAGAACTGTCTTTGAAATTTTCTGCTTCAGGGAAAAGTCTACTGGATACTATGGGCCTGTAGGCTGAAGAGGGGTGCCACAATGTTACATAAGAACTTTGGGTGACTGTCCAGGCAGTGAGATATCTCTGTCAATTCTAGAGTTTTGGAAGTTGCTTACACTGCACTTTCTGTTTACTTGGGTAATATCATATCCTTCTGGAGACTTTGATGTAGCTGGAAGAATAGATAGTTATAGCTATAGTTTTCCTTAGTTATTATAAAAGATAAAGTAGATATAAAGATTGTAACTATAATTATTGTTTGATACCTGTTGTGTTATATGTAATCTTGCTATGTTAAAGTTAAAAACCTTCCTTTTTATTTAGACAGAAAAGGAGAGGTGATGTGGGAGGTGATGTGTGCTGTGAATGTGTTTTATCGCCATTGGTTAATAAAGAAGCTGCTTCCAGCCAATGGCTTAACAGAGTAAAGCCAGGCTGAAAGATATACACAGAGAAAGTAGGCGGAGTCAGGGAGATGCCATGTAGCTGCCAGAGGAGGAATATGTGAGCTGTCAGCTGGAACCTTGCCAGTAGGCCATGAACCCCGTGATACAATATAAAATGAGTTCGAGGCCAACCTGGTCTACTAGAGCTAGTTCCAGGACAGGTTCCAAAGCTACAGAGAAACCCTCTCAAAAAAACAACATGTGTGTGTGTGTGTGTGTGTGTGTGTACATATTATAATAGAAATGGGTTAATTTAAGATATAAGAGCTTGTTAGCAATATGCTTAAGCTATTGGCTAAACAGTATTGCAAATAATATAGTTTTGTGTGATTATTTCGAGTCAGGGCAACTGAGAAACAAATGAGAAACCTCTGCCTACATAGGGAGGCTGAGGCAAGAGGATTGTCAGGTTAAGGCCAGCCTGGGCTGCAAGGTGAGTTCTAAGTCAGCTTTGAAACCCTATCTAAAAACAAAACAAACAAACAAAAAGCCCCAAAGTGAAACCATACAAAACTGGATTTGGTGTCTTGTACCTATAAACCGAGCATTAGAAAAGTGGATACAGGAAGTTTAGTTGCTCACAATCATCCTCTATTACACATTGAATTCAAGGCCTGTTGCAGGGGGAGCTGCTTCTTCATCTTGGCTGCCTAGAACCAAAATAACCACACACAAACTGTATTGATTAAAACACTGCTTGGCCCCTTAACTCTAATATCTTATTGGCTACCTTTTAGATATTAGTTTAACCCGTATCCATTAATCTGTGCATCGCCACAAGGTTGTGGCTTACCTGCAAAGTTTTAGCATGTCTATTTCTGTCGGCAGTGGCTCCATGGCATCTCCCTGACTCTGTCTTCTTCTTCCCATAATTTAGTTTCATCTTCCTTGCCTACCTAAGTTCTGCCCTATCAACAGACCAAGGCAGTTTCTTTTTTCATTAACCAAAAAAAAGCAACACAGAGACAGAAGGACCTTCCATACCAAAGGCCAGCCCAAGCTACCAGAGACCCTGTGTCAAAAGCAAAACCCCAAAGAATATTGTGAGTATATTCCCCAGAAGCATCAGGGCCCAGGTCTTCTGTAAGACACAGAGGCTGTGCTGGGATTGGTGGACAGACTGCCCACGTGGGGATGTGGGCAGAGTCAGAGTCTATGATGCTACATGAAGACTGTATGGACTAATTCTGAGTTGTCTCGAGGGACTTTTAGAATTGCTTAAGGAGATCTCGCGTAGATTGGAATCCTTTAGCAGATACCTTAATACCATATTAAAAATTCCGTGTTATTTGGACTGTTAGTGGCCTGTGACATTATTTATGGCTTTCATTTAGAAAACTCAGATGTCTGTTATGGAATGTTAGTTTAATGACACAAAGATGTGTTCCATTCTTTTATGCTACATTTGTTTAACTCCGCAAAGCTGTGTTGCTTTTTCTGTCTAAAGCACATGATTAGTTTAATAAAGAGCTGAATGGCCAAGAGCTAGGCAGGATAGAGGGATAGGTGTGGCTTACAGTCGGGGAGAATAACTAGGAGGAGACATCTAGGCTCAAGGGAAGAAGGAGGAGGACAGTAGGAGCCAGCCACCCAGCCACACAGTCAGCCACAGAGCAAGAAGGAAAGAAAGATACAGAGAATAAAGAAAGGTAAAAAGCCCAGAGGCAAAACATAATTAAAGAGAAATGGGATAATTTAAGTTACATTAGAAAAACTGGTTGAAAACAAGTCAAGTTCAGGTCAGGGATTCGTAAGTAAGAATAAGACTCTATTTATTTGGGAGCTCGGTGGCAGGCCCCCAAAAGAGAAAAAAAAAATTACATGTGTCCCAAATCATATTCTAACCTCACCCATATCCCATGATTCTAATTTTGTTTTTAGTTTTCAGTTGTTGCAGTGCTGGGATGGAATCCAAGGCCCTGTGCATGACTGCTTAGTCGACCACTGCGGGACCTGTTCCTAGCCAGTGATTTATTAAGAGCAGCTTTCTGTATCACAGTTTGGCTTTCAAAGGTTCTTTTTAAAAATGAGAACCACAGTGATGAAAATATCTTACGTTTCCTGACTATGCTGGGTCCTTTACAAGGCTGTCTTTCATCCCATAACCACAACCACACTGCAAAGGGGATGGTTGATTTGTTTGTTTGCTTGTTTGTTTTGAGACAAGTCTTTCATTACGTAGTCCACGGTAACCCCAAGCTTGTGGCAATTCTCCTGCTTCAGCCTCGTGAGTGCCCAAATTCAGAGAACAACTCATACCACCGAGTTTGTTTGCCTGTTTATTTGTTGTCGCACCAGGAATCAGACCCAGGCCTATGCCCATGCTTGGCAAACATGAGCTACACCCCTAGCCCCAGACAGACTTACATACCCTCACTTTGTAGATAAGAAAAATAAAGTTCAGAGAGGTGAACTAACTCGCCTTGGTCTCCCTGACTCCTGAGTAATGGACTCAATCTCTTAAACTGACAGCCATACTTTCCCCTGCACTCTCTTCCCAGGGCCCGTGGGAGTCTAATCTATGGAGTGGAGTGACTGCAGTTAACCCATCATGCACTCCATCCAACCATTCTCATGTGGTTGTGACACTGGGATGATGGTGGTGGTGATTTGATTGATGTGAGAGTCCCCTCTGCATGCTGTGAATACCATTGGTTAATAAAGAAACTGCCTTGGCCTGTTGATAGGGCAAAATGTAGGTAGGCAGGGAAAACTAATTTGAACACTGGGAGAAAGGAGGCAGAGAAACTATGGAGCTGCTACAGGAGACAGACATGCTGGAACCTTGCAGGTAGGTCACAAGCCTCGTGGTAAAATATAAAATAATGGAGATGGGTTAAATTCAGATGTAAGAGTTAGCCAATAAGAAGCTAGAGCTAATGGGCCAAGCAGTGATTTAATTAATACAGTTTCTGTGTGATTATTTCGGGATTCTGGGCAGCCAGGAAATGAACAAGCAGCCTCCTTACAACAGTGATTATAGCCATTTGAACGATAATGGTTTCCATAGGAGTTTGAGTTGGTAGAACTGTTTGTGGAGGCAGAAGAACTAAAGAAACTAGAACAGAACTCTAGAGACCAGAGTTGGACAGAGGACATAAACCTTGAAGCAGAATCATTTCCTGGCTCACTCCAGGGCCACCTCCAGCTCACTACCCCTGCTTCCAAGAGCCACCCGGGGATCCTTTAGGGACGCTTCTCCTGAAGTGAGCCGAACAAGCGTTCACTGCACACGTACTGTGTTCACTGCCCTGCAGTTATGTGTGAACAGGCTTCCATTGTGGGCTCTGGCTGCTTCACGAGTTCCTTTCACATCCTCCTTCTCCTCTGGGACACTCCCCATCACCCACCAGACCAGCCCTTACTTGTTATTCCACAGGAAGAGACTGTGACAAACAGAACCTTAAGCAGATAGAATGGTTTACTACCTAATCCTGGCACTCAATTGCAGAACCCCAAGATCCAATGGAAGAAGGGCTTCCCCCTAGGCAGTCTGAGGTAGCTACAGGAGCCTGACTTCTGAAGAGATGCCAAGTGTGTCCAGGTGATCTTGCAGCTCTTGGGTGGCTGCCCTGGTCCATTGCTCATGCCTGATACTCTATTTAGAGACAAGCCAGGCCTCTTGTGACAGCTTTCCCAGTCAGAGAACATGAGGCTTAACAGGTAGGGTGTCACTTGTGAGGCTACCACCCACCTGAGACAGCCTGGCTGGTGGGCTCTGCTCCTGGATTTGCCTGGGTAGCCACGGGTTCTGCCAGAAGGGAGCAAGGCCCCCCAGGCTCACGATGAGGTTCTGGAGGAGGAGCTGCTCCAAGGTGCTCTGTGCTGTGCTCATTCTGGTAACAGCCAACATTCTGTTGGTGTTTTACACCAACGGGACCATACACCGCTTGATTGTGGACGGCTTCCACAAGGAGGGGGCTGCGGTGGTCCAGAGACCCTTGTACCTGGAGAAGGATGTGCACCATTCAAGTAAGTTCCACCCCACGGGGAGGGGAAATCTTAGGGTGTGTAGGCTGAAGGAGCTTTAGGAACGCAAAGAAGAAAGGGCATGGAGGGGGAAAAAAATCAAGGGAGAGGCCAAGTCCAGTCTGACAATCACACCGTGGGAACAAGAGACTCCACAGAAAAGGGAATTTCCCCAGGAAGCTCATGCTGGGAGAGGGAATGGGTGCCAGCCAGAGTGGGGACTCGGGGAAAGATTTCCCACAGTTTTAACAACTTGTTTTTTATCACCGTTGCCTGATGAGACTAGAGCCCAGGCAGGAACGGGTTAGTGATGGATGAGAACAACGTCTTGACCAATCAACAGCTTAGCTGTGCATGTCTTTGGGCCTCTACTTAAACTTTATCTAACTTTAGGACACAGAAAATGGATTGAAGGTGGGGGTTGGGGGAGGCTTCCCTAGATTGTTTTGCTTTGCTTCCCAACTTAGTTAAATTGAATAAATCTCCCTTTTCTCTTTGCTACTTTTAATCGACTCCTTGAGGATCTGATTTGGGGCACAGGTTGTGATCCTAAAATCATACAACAGTGGAAATGTTGAGAGAGGAACCATCTAAGGCAAAATTCTTACTTCATTTTGCAGAATTTTCATTGTGAGGGTGTAGTGGATTTGTTAGAGAGACAGGGATTCAATACGGACATATCACACGAGACTCTGAGCACGTAATGACAAATGACAGGGTGAGGAGACAGGACGGTGGCCCTCAGAAGGCTGTGACTTTATGTAGAAAGTAACACGAACCTCCACCCCCAGCCCATTCCTTTTGCTGAGTCATTATCTTCCTTTCTAGTGCACGGTGGCTTGGGATTCTCTGTGTGGCCCTGTCTGTCCTGGAACTTGCTGTCTTCCTGCCTCAGCCTCCTGAGTTCTGGGATTGTAGAGTGCACCACCACTCCCACTAACCTTCAAGTTTAGCTTCTTTATTGAAAGTTCTGGGTAAGGTTTCACCATGCTTTGGGTGGCTTGTGATTCCCATTTCTCATGAAAGCCTTGCTTCTCTGAACTGCTAGTGTGTTGGCTTCCCATGTCTCAGAGTCAAGTGCTTGATCCTTTAAAGGAGCATTGACTGTGTGTACCCAGGTTGGGGTACAGTGTACCCTGGGGTGTACCAGTATGAAGTCAGAGCTAAGCAGAGTGTCAATATTATTATTTGACTTGTAGCTTGCCCCCCTTCCCGCCTTAGTGTTCAGAGTGCTGGGATGAAAAGTACGTGCTGTCATGTCCAGTCAAAGTGCCTTTTAAAATGACAGAAACATGACCACCAGGCAAGGTGCCATATACTTGCGGTCAAGAGTTCAGAGTCACTATCGATGGCACAGCAGAGGTCAGCCGGGGCTGCAGGAGGTTCTCCCTATAAATGTAAAAATGCACACATCTGCCTCTCAGTTGGAGCTGTTCCTGCTTCAGTCTTGAAGGGCTGTGAATGCCTCTGGGCTTCAATACACATTCTGCTCAACAAGCCACAGGCTGTGTATGGGTGAGCTTGTGTCTTGGGGGAGTCATGCAGTAGAGTGGTCCCTTGCCAGCGTGGGCTGTAATCAGAAGAACTAACTGTACCTCTGTCTAACATGCAAGAAGATTCTGATTGCGCTAAAAGTGGTCCTGTCAGTCTGGTTGGAATTTAAAGTAGGGTGGGCGAGAGGAAAGTGGTCCTGTGGTGGGAAGCCTTCATCACCATTGTGCAGTCTAACGCCTGAAGCCCCCCCCCCTTTTCTTCCCTCCCTCGCCCTCTCTTGATTCAGTTTGAGAGCCTTCAAAGTGCCCATGTTAAGACACTCCACTTTGCAGCATAAATCTCCTGGGGTTGTCAAGGGGAAGTTAATAGGGGTAGGGGAAGCTGTGAAGTCTGCAGGCCGCTTTCTGAACGGCAAGCATCGTTGCTACTATGGGTCTACTGAGTTCATTAGGCTTCCTCTGCATGGCTAGTTCTCCACCTGTATCTGTCACCATCTGGTCATTATTTTGGGGGTAAACTCATGATTCTGAAACGAATGTGGCTATTAGCTCTATCAGGAGCAGCTATGGAAAACAAACCAAGCTAAACCAGTTGAACAGCTTCTACACTCTATGGCAGACCCAAGGGATCAGTGTGTCTAGGGAAGGCCTGGGATCCTGCATTTTCCATGAGCACTTGCAGACAGTCTTATAGTCAAACTGAAAATGTAGGCCTGGTTTGTCCCTAGCTTCAAAGTTGCTGGTATATCAGCCACATGAGATGTGAAGGGCTGGGTGGCCTATGTGATGCTTTAAAATGTCTTTGCTAGCTACTGATAGTGTGATATCTGTGAAACAAATAAAGATTCTTGTGCCTCTTGGCTCTATCCTCTCCTGACCCTGATATTCTGATTTGGTAGATTTAGGGGATGTCTACATTAACACACACACACACACACACACACACACACACACACACACACACAAAACAAAAAATTCACAACAGACATTTCTTAGGGGATGTCTACATTCAAACACACACACACACACACACACACACACACACACACACACACACACCAAAAAACCCACAACTGACATTTCTAGCATGACTCTTAGGTTTCATTCTGGAAAAACACTATCTTATTGAGTCATTTCTGAGATCAAAGTCAGTTCTGCTGGAGCCCTGGGGTGAGGAGTGGGTAGATATTGATGGTGCTGAGTCTTGCACAGCTCTGACAAGGACTCTTTCCCAATCGTCTTCTCTAGGACGAGAGCTTGTAAAGTCTTACATTTGAAGACTATGCCAAATAGCTTTTTATAGTGCAACAGATTCCTGAGCCGATCCACTTATAAAAAGAAAAAAAATTATATGTGCGCAACACTTTGGAAGTTAGCTCAAGGCCCAGTTGCTTTAAGCTTGAGATGAAGCAGTAGATGTGGTGCTCGGGGAGAAGGCAGATCACTGCATGGAAGTGACGCAAAGACAACTTTGGCCAGGTCTCCAGTGTCCCCTTTAAAGGGCAGCCCCATACAATTGGAGCACTGTTTATTTATTCATTTTGGTTTTCGAGATAGGGTTTCTCGGTGTGACAGTCCTGGGTGTCCTGGAACTCGCTTTGTAGACAAGGCTGGCCTCGAAACTCACTGAGATCTGCCTGCCTCTGCCTCCCAAGTGCTGGATTTAAAGGCACGAGCCACCACTACCCAAATGATTGGAGGACTCTTTAACAAAACCTGTTTCTTAAAGTCTCCACCCAGACCCCAAGGCTCTTGCAGGAACCGTTGAGGTAGGAACTGTCACAGAGAGAAAATGGTGCAGAGGATGTCAGCTTGAATAGCAGTTTCCAGCTTTCTAAGCGTTGGCTGAATTGTTTTCACGCCACCCCCATCTTCTTTATCGGCAGGAAAAAGTCTGAAACTGATTTTGAAGCAACAAGGTCACGTGGGATGGGGAGCCGCTGAATTCCACCCTGGTCGGAAGGCACTGAAAGTCAGGTTGGCGTCCAAGAGGTTCTCCCTGCCCTCCATCTTCCAGCAATGGGGGAAGGGACTCTCGGAGGCTCAGCAGAAAGAGGCCCGGTACTTGTTCCTGGAGTTCGGCTACAATGCGTTCCTCAGCAACCGGCTGCCTTTTAACCGAAGCATCCCTGACACCCGCCATTCCAGGTGCACAGGACCAGGGGTGGCTTGGCAGGACCTCAGTGCAGTTTGGTGATGAACTTTGGAAACCATGCTAGTGAAGGGGTAGGAAGATGGGTGAGGGGAGCAGAGGACTGTGGGGAAAGGGATGACACCTTTTCCATTTTTTGCTTTGTTTTGTTGTTTTGAGATAAGTTCTTACCACATAACCCCGACTAACCTCAAACTAGAACTCCCCATGCCTCTGTTTTCTGAGTGTTGATATTTCAGTGTGTCCTGCTTAGCTGGGTTCTTGTTTTGAATTTTGTGACGGCATGTCAGAGAAGGTACGGACTAATTCAAATGCTCTAGCTCCCGGGGAGAAGGAGCAGCACACACTCCTCTCCCAATGAGGATCCTAGATGGAGCAAGGACTTGAATGAGTCCCACCTCACTCAGCAGCGAGGCTTCCTGCTCTGGCTTTTCCTCAGTTCTCTGCTTGGATCCTGTTCCTCACTGAATCTCATATGGAGATTGTTTTCCTGAGTGCAGCAACTCCCCTCCATTGCTCTAGGTCTTTCTGCCTTCCCCTCACATACACACTTTCACTTTACACACAAACACATACACACACACACACACACACACACATACACACCCCCCAAAACAAAACATCAACAACAAACTTGTACAAAAACCATTCAATCTTTCTGTTTGTTTGTTTGTTTGTTTGTTTTTGCTTTGTTGTTTCTTGAGGCTTCACAGGGTTTCTCTGTATTACAGTTTTAGCTGTCCTGGAACCAGCTCTTGTAGACCAGGTTTTGCCTCGGACTCACAGAGATCCATCTGCCTTTGCTTCCCTAGTGCTGGGATTAAAGGCCTGTGCCACTACCCCCCGGCGCTTTTTGAGACATGGTCTTAGGTAGCCCAGGCTGGTCTCAGATTTTGTGTAGTTGAGGACGACTTTGAACCTTTGATCTTTGAACACTGATCCTCTCATCTGTGTGCTGGGATTACAGGTATATACCATTTCCTGGTACAGCTTTGTTGACAGATAAAAATGAATGGTTTCTTTTATAATTAGTAAATGCACGGAACTAGGTCTCATTATATAGTTGAGATTGATCTGCTTTTGGAGATCCCCTTACCACTAGCGTGATAGTATTACAGGTATGAGCCACTGTGTCCTGCAATGGTTCTTAGTATGTTCAGAGTTGCGCACAAGCCACACAGTCTTAAAACATTTTGATCATCTGATAAAGAGACCCTGTGCTTTTCTTCATGGTCCATTTAACCATTTACAAGCTTCCTCGTCCCTATGAATTTAACTATTCTTTACCTTTCTTAGGATAGAATCATGTAGATGGGTTTGTGTCTGTGTGTATGTTTATGTATCTTTCTTCATTTGTTATAGTGTGTCTGAAGACTATTCATGTAATAGCTAATAGCATGCACCAATATTTCCTCTTTTTATTGATATGTGGCATTTTGCTCTTAGTCATTAGCTAAGAGCTAAGACTGTTCCATTGTTTCCAGGCCTGGGCTACTGCCAATAATATTGCTGTTTTTTTTTTAATGAAGTTGAGTTGGGGTTTGATACAGACATGCTAATATACAACCACAAAAGTAAAGGGAGAGAGGTGCTCAGGAGGAAGTGAGACATGCCCAGAGGATGGACGTGAGCATCACAAAGAAGGGCTGTTTTCTGCAAGTTTGTATGAGAACAAACCAATGCCTTCATTTAGTGGATGCTTGTAGTAATGGATGCTTATTGCTGGGTCATATGTAACTCCATAGTTAACCTTTCGAGAGCCTACCTGACTATTTCCTAAAAGATTTGCATAATTAGTTTATATTCTCTCCAGCAGTGCTGAGCAATTTTTCTGTTGCTTTTTGTTTGTTTGTTTTTGAGGGGAGATCAGGAATTCAAGGAGTCTGAGGTCTGGGCTACAAAGTTTGTGCCTCCCAAGTGCTGGGATCACAGGAACGGATCGCCCTACCTGGCAGAAGCCAGGTCTGGTGTTGTGGTTGAATCCCTGGTCTTGTGAATGTAAGCAAGCATGCCGCCTCTGAAGTGCAACCCCAGCTCCAAGAATCTTGGTTTGTCCCCTATTCTTCAGCACGTGTTTACTGTGTGTGTGTGTGTGTGTGTGTGTGTGTGTGTGTGTGTTTGTACGTGTGTGTATGTGTGATCAGTTAGCCTATTGGTTGTGAGATGGGATCTCAATTGTGCTATATTTATTTATTTAAAAATTTGAGACTTAATGATGAACATCTTTTCTGTGCTTCTTATCCATTTGCATGTCTTTTTTTTCCCTTTCAGAAATACCTATTTGGACACATTCTTTTTATTATTGAATTGCAACTTCCTTCTGTCCCTTCCTTTCCTCCTTGCCTCCCTCCCTCCCTCCTCCCCTCCCTCCCTTCCCTGAGCTGGTTTCCAGGACTGCATAAAAAGAAAGTCAGGAGTACCAGTAGTCCCCCACCCTGCTTCCTGACTGGGACATGTGGGAGTCCCTGCTATTGTGCCTTCCCTGCCATGACAGACAGTACCCTCTTGAACCCTCCTTCCTTAAGTTGCCTCTTTGTCACATCAGTGAGAAAGTTCTTAATACATTCGGAGACTCCACAAATGTGGCTATTTAAAGAGGAGTTGACAGCCACTTTCATTTTCCTTTTAATTAACTGTGGATTGAGGTTTCCTTCCAGAGTGACAGAATGCTGAAACATCTTTCCCCTCTAAGAAACCAACCAGGCGACATGTTCAGAAATCGTCTCGAGGCTACACAGCAAATGGAGAACCGTCCTGGCAAGAACATTTTCTAAGTCTCAACAAGTCTCAGTGGGAGTCCATGGCATCTGAGCCACTGTTTGTTCCCTCTACTCCACCCCCAGTTCTGGAGAATGATATTCTATGCCAAGTCTCTACTCTGAGTAGGAATGGTGGAGGGGGCTCTTGCCACGGCATTTCCTATAGGGCTGTGGTTTCATTCCACGGAAGGGTGAGCCAACTAAAATCACGTCACACCTTCCCATCCCCATCATGAGATGTGCATCCTCTATCTATGGAGGTGGCTGAAGCAGCGACTCCCCTTCTCCACAGCTCCACCTCATCCTCTATCTACTGACACCCTCCACCTCACACCCACTCTGAGGGTAGAGTTTCAACCCCACTGCACCAGACTAAGAATGCTGGGTTCCAGCTGTCCCTTCCCCAGCTCGCATACACAGAGGAAGTTCTATTCTGGAACGCTAAGGTCGGGAAGCCCAGGGGCTGCTGCCTGCCGCCTTCCTGCCTGTTGTGTCTGCCTGCAGACCAGCATGTCACTCTGGCTCAGGGCAGGAAGTGCAGTCTGCACCCCCAGCCCCCGAGGACTGATGCAGAAGCTCTGTCCTGGATGGAATTTGGGGTGAAAACCTTCCCTGTTCTTTTTAAGGAACTGGCCTTATTTGGAATAGGGTTTTTTGGGGGGAGGGGTTGTTTTGTTTTGTTTTTGTGTTTTTGTTTGTTTGGTTTTTTTTGTTTTGTTTTTCCAGACAGGGTTTCTCTGTAGCTTTGGAGCCTGTCCTGGATGGAATAGTTTTTAGGTCAGGGTCTCTCTATGTAGCTCTGACTGTCCTCGAACTCACAGAGATCCACTTGTCTTTGCTTTCTTAGTACTGATTAATGGTGTACACCACCGTGCCTGGCTAACCATGCACTTTTGGTGGAGAATATTTAAGAGGAAGCTCATAGCTCATGCTATAGGGAAGGTGGAGCATGCAGAAATCTAACAGAAACTGGGAAGACACAGCCAAGAAGAGCCCCCTAGGATCACACTGCCTGGGGTGGACTAACCGTGCCTGTGTGTTAGCGCTGGGCTGAATGCTCCCAGGAACAATCAGATGAGCATGAGAGAAAAGCTGGTCAGCATTCCTCAGCCTGCACACAGGTCCATCAAAGGGCAGCTGAAGCCTGCTTTCACTCAGGCCTCCCAACTTCTGAACAGTGTAAACAGTAAGCCACACTGATTCAGGTCAACTTCTAGGGTGCCAGACTTAAGAAGAAAAACCATATGCTATATTTTCTTCAGATTGTGCTTTTAAAATCTTTACACTCACCCCTTCAACCTCCACGTTCCCAAGTCATGTGCCCCTTAACGATAGGCTAAGTTCAGGGGAATGTAATATTAGGCCATTTTTGTCACAGTACAAACATTATAGCATGTTTTTCCACAAACTGAGACAGGCGAGACATCATTGGGCAACATAACATTATAGGAGCCATGTTTGTGTATGTGGTCTGTCATAGACTGAATCACTTTCACTGGTGTATTATCTTATATAAGAGAAATGAAAGCATGCTGGTAAAAAAGCTTGTTCAAGGGCTGGAGAGATGGGTCAGCAGTCAAGAGTACTTGCTGCTCTTGCAAAGGACCCAGGTTTTGGTCTCAGCACCCACACTGAAGCTCACAATCATCCGTAACTGCTTCCAGAGGACCTGATACCCTCTTCTGGCCTCCATAGGCACTGCATGCACATGGTGCACATACATGTATGTAAGCACACACCCATACACATAAAAATAAAAATAAATAATTAAAAAAGAAGATTGTTTAAGAACGTTCCTCCAATTATTGTTCATAACTGCCCCAAAGCAAAAATACCCTAAATTTCTTCAATACCCATCTGCTGGCAAACGGGTAAGACCTAGCAGATAGTGCTAGAACTCTTCAGTGCAATGTTATTTGACCACCAAAGGAAAGCCATTGGTACCTGCTGCAACCCTGATGAAAATAGTATGTTCAGTAGAGTACATAACTTATTTTTATTTACATGAAAGCCCCAGGACAGGTAAGTCTATAAAAATGGAAATTCAGTTAGTGTATGCCTATGGCTGAGGGGACATTAGACAGATGGGTTGGGGAGAAATAGCAAATAACTGGCAATGTTTTAGGCTTTCTTTGTATATGAGAAAGCTTTCTAAAACTAGAGGTTGGGGGGATGCTGTATTGAGTGAAACTGCTTACTTTTCAAATGTGGGGACCTGAGATCTGAGACCCAGCGCATCTGTCGCCAGTGCTGGCAGCGGGTGGATGCAGGTGGGGTTTCCACGGCCGTCTGGCTTAGCCGGATTGGAAAGATTCATGATCAGTGACAATTCAATACAGATTCACTGTATCAGTGAATAAGGCTGGAAGCAATTGGGGAAGGTGTTTGACATTGACCTCTAACCTCCACGTACATTCCTCCCACTAAAATTAATGCTAATCACCATTCCACTCTGTGACTGACAAAGTCAGGGGATCGCATGCTTTTAAATAAGAGAATTCTATTACTGTACACTATTTCTCAATAGTCATGTTTTTAAAATGATGACCTGATCAATAGATACAAATGCATAGTGGCTCATAGGACTAAACTCTAAGCATCTTCTATGTAACTTGTCTGTAGATGAAAGAAAAGGAGATGGGTTGCTTCTGGGTAAGCAAAATAATTTTGGACAAGTAGATTAAAAAAAAAAACGTTTTGTTTCTTAGACAAAGACCTGAGATTTTCCTTCGCCCACTGAGTTTGAGGCTTAGTGAGTTTATTAATAGGATACCATATGCACTGAGGAGGAAGCCTGGACCACAATGTTTAAATAATTAAAGAACAATGTGTTACAAAAAAAATGAATGATGTCTTACAGGTGTCTTCAGAAGACATACCCTGCCCAGCTCCCATCCATCAGCGTCATCCTCATATTCATGAATGAAGCTCTGTCTGTCATCCAGAGGGCTATCACCAGCATCATCAACCGGACCCCTCCTCAGCTGCTGAAGGAGATCATCCTGGTAGATGACTTTAGCTCCCACGGTGAGCATCCTGAGGGGAGGAATAAGCGAGCATGATTGTCATTGGAAATAGGTTGTCACTAGGGAGTTTGGGACATGGTGAGTGTCTCCCAGAGGGGAAAGTAAAGGCTAATTTAGTGAGGGCCCCTTTGTGCTGAGAACATTTGCATTTCATGACGCCAAGAGTACAGCTCATCATCTGGAATGCACAAGTAAGACAAAAAGACACAGGAAAAGCACAGGGGGTCCCAACTGTGTGGCAGACCATTGTGGATTTGGGGTCAAGTGCAGAACCACGTGACTCCAAAATCACCTTTGCCCTGAGCATGCTCTATGAAAGAGACCTAAGGGTTGAGGTGCGTGAGATGCCAAGAAGAGATTCAGAACCTTTCTTTGTAAGACAAGGACAAAATTTATCAGGTAAGGAAGCTTGGAGGAGAGGAAGTTTAGGAACCTGGGATTACTCACAGTGGCAGCAAGTCTTGTCCCCTGGCCACCCAGCCCCCAGTCTAGCCTACCTACATAGGCCACATGGAGGAAGGGGCAGATTGTGGACTTAATCATTTATGTCTTTTTTTTTTTTTTTTGAGACATGGCTTCATGTAACCCAGGCTGGTCTAAAGCCCACTATCCAGTCAAGGGGTGACCTTGGTCACCCTGTTTTCACTTCCCAAGTGCTGGGATGACAGACATGTGCCACCAGCTTCCAGTTCATGCAACACTGAGGATGGAAGCTCTGGTGACATGCTAGGCAACTGTGAAGGTGTAGCTTAGGTTACCTTCCTGCCCTGTTCTTTCTCTCCAGTTTTGTTAATGGGGTGCACCACCATGGTGGGTCTGGGTCTTTGCCTTCTAAATCTGTATCCCTGTCTCCCTCCTTTAAAAAGATATATATCCTTGAGAACTGTAACATCTCCGTGATTCACTTTCTTTGTATACCAAATGTGTGTTGATTATCATAACCATCTTAAGAAGGATAGCTAACATGTTTTTTTTCTTAATTCTACCAATTTTGTGCATAAAATAAAAATAAGCTAGCATTAAATGACAGAACCAGAGGTTTGGGCTAACAATAAGGAAGGGTTTTCAAAGTGTGCGGACTTACGAAGTACAGGCCTTTGTTCCTTCACTGGGCATCTTTAGGGATGAGAGAGGAGAGAAGAGGTATTGAGTCTGAAGGTTCCTGCAAGGAGAGGAAGCAAGGGGGCGGGTCTGAAATAACTCAGCCCCCGAGAAAACCCTTCTTCAGTCGCACACATCCCCATTCTACCCGTGTAGTTAAGTCAGCGAGAAAGGAGAAGGTAAAACTGATTGAGCAGAATTCACTGGAAATCATGAACGAGAGCCAGTTCTATTTGTTTGTGGTCATGGGGTTGGGTACCAGCTTGTAGCCCGATTCTGCTGGTAAGAAAAGAAAGATCTAGACATGCACCCTGGACAGCTGAAGGCCCAGGACCCCCTTGGCGCTGTCTGTAGTGACTTGGACAGGATCTCTCATTCCTCTGGGACTCAGTTTCTTCATGGAACTGATGCAAGGGTTGAAATGGAAGACCTCAAAAAATCCACCCACTTCCCACAAACACAACACAGTTCTATTATCCCATGCTCCATGGTGGGGAGACTTTATTCAAGACTCTCTGTACTGGGGCGGCAGCACTGAGAGTGCAAACAAGATCACTGATGAGGGCGATTCGTGAAGAAAAGTCAGATGAAGCTTCCTAGTATCCTAGCTGCCACCATCATGTGACATGTCATTCTCTCTTGGGCCTGGAATCAAGTTACGTTTTTGTTAATGGATTCTATTAATTGTTATTGAGGGGGTGTGGACACGCACATGCCTCTGTGCTCATCTGGAGGGAACATTATACAATGGGGTTAGGACCAGCAAGATGGCTCAGTGGACAAAGTTGCTTGCCTTCAAACTGGTTGAGTTAATTCCCAGTAGAAGGAATGAACTGGCTCCCATGGGCTGTTCCCTGTTTTCACACGTGTGCTTGTGGTATGTATGCAACCCCACCACAGAATAAATAGGCAAATAAACAAAGAAATAGAGAGAGAGAGAGAGAGAGAGAGAGAGAGAGAGAGAGAGAGAGAGAGAGAAAGAGAGAAAGAGAACTAAAACCAGGAAAATTTTAGTGCCATAGCCATGTAAGTGTTGATTCTAGGAAGTGGTTATCCCAGGTTTCACAAGTATATTAATCTTTTGAGAGAAGAACCAACAAGAATTCTATCCCTTGGATGTAAAGAGAAAAGAGACGGTGGTGGTGGTCAGGAGCTTAATAAAATCAAACAACTGTGCACATGGTTCTTAAGCCAACGTGTGGTTAAAGACAACACAGCTGTGCCACTAGATGAACATGTGATTTGGAAAGTTTCTTACTCCTGTCATGCCTCAGTTTCCCTTTTTCTGTCTTGTGGGAATACTCTAGTGTTATCATTTATAGGTTTCTATAAATGCTTAAGTGAATTAATACTATCAGTGATACCTCTGTAATACTAGCCCTTGGGCGGCTAAGGCAGGAGGATTACTTTGAGCTTGAGGCTAGTCTAGATTACAGAGTAAGACCAAGCCAAAAAACATATGTCATGAGTGGATAACTGGGTCAATTGGCTAGCAGTTTTGCATACTCCTTAGTGATTTGTACGAATGCAGAAGCTGCTTTCAAATATGCAAAGAAGGCAACTGGTAGCCTGAGTTAAGAAAGGCAGAGACAGGCTTTACAAAAAGAGAGGGAAGGGGGAAGGAAAAAACCCTTGTAAACAGTCTGGGAAGAGTGAGTCTTGCTTGCATAATATTGAGAGAAAACTCTTCGGCTAGATGCTGGCATAGAAGATCAGTCTGAGCATTTGTACTCATTGTGATGTAATCAGAACAGCCAGGGATATCTAAAACAAAGCAAAGCTGCTTATTCGGGTTCTCTAGGAAGTCTTATTATTAAGCTGTGGTGGTTCCCCAGGCTGTCTCTGCAAACTCATTCGTTAATGTTACAACCTTAAGTACCAAGCCAGGCCTGCGTTGTTCCCTTGCCTAGGAGTTTCTCCGGATGTTAGATGCACTCTTGACCAGTGGTTCACATCTCCCAAGCAGAGAGATGCAAGGGTGGGGAAAGGAAACCGGGAAGGGCGCTGGGCAAATGTTACGTCCCTCCCAGTCAGGGCTCTGGAATTGCTCACTTACAGTGGCGTTGCCCACTCACAGTTACAGGACAGCGTAAAATGTCTGTACTACATTTTCGCACTCAGTGTCTCTACGCTTGTGTGTCTGGTTGGTAGGAGAACTGAAGGCACGACTGGATGAGATGATTAAGCTTTACAACCGGAATTACCCACTCCTACTGAAACTCATACGGCACACGAAGAGACGAGGTCTCGCGCAAGCCCGCAACATTGGTCTGGAAGCTACTACCGCGGATGTGGTTGCCATCTTGGATGCTCACATTGAAGTGAACATTGGATGGTAAGATTCTGGAAGGCTGCTGCTTTCAAGAAAAGACAGAACTGAACGATGGTACATGGTAAGTCAGGATAGTATTGAGACAGGGAATGCTGACACCAAGTCCTTGAACAAAGGGAGGTAGGTTGCAAAGCTTTCATTCAGGCAGTCTTGTTGGATTCACGAAATAGTATAAGCCTTGGGTGGTGACACATGCCCATAATCTTATGATTGGGATATAGAGGCAGGAGGATCACAAAGTCAAGGCTAGTCTGGGCTACACTGTACGCATGCATAGGAGAGGTGGGTAGGTATTGTTTTACCGTTGGCTCAGTGAATACACCTGAATCTACTGGTATTTTAATTACCGTCTGAGCCCCACAGTTAGCATCCTGCTGCTCAGGCTGTAGCCTGGCAGGATTTCCAGTCCCATGGGCATCAAGTCTTCCACCCCCAGCATGGGCTCCTCTGGGGGCACCAAATGTAGTTTTTGTTTGGAATATTTCTTAAGAAGAGCCTCTCCCCTGATGCAAATAATTCCAATCAGACCAAATTAGACCAAATAAAAGATGCCCATGTTTAATGCAGTGCTCCTGGGTGGCCAGAAGTATGGCGAAGGGAAGAGAGGTGGGGAGAGACCACACAAAACCCGAGACCATGTGTTCTTTTTTGGGGAGGCAGCCTAAATAGCCTGTGGGGGTGGTCCCGACCCCCCTCTCCCGGGGAGGAGTCAGCGCTTGGCGGACTTTCCCGGAGGTGGAGTCCAGACCAAGGCAACTCCCAGGAGGTGGGAGCTTCCAAGGATGGATGACGGGTATTACAGTTTTTAACTAAGTCTCTATTCTATTTACCAATAAAAACTCAGGAGTCAGATGTTGGGGTGAAAACCTCCTACATCAGAGAGTCAGAGAAGCAACCAGCTCACCTTCATTTGTGGCTGGAGACCCAGCAAGAGAGCGTCTCTCCAGCCCTCCCAAACCAAAAAGACTGCAGAACTCCAAGTCCTTCCCTACTCCTTCCTGTGTGTCTGTCTTTCTGGCTCCTCTGTACTCTCCATGGCCGATTCCTGTCAACTAGTCGTTGACTCTGCCCCTGATCCAAGGCTGATTTGATTGACACAGTCGTGGGTGCCACAGTGCCACCAAATAGCCCGCAACAGGTGGAGGCTTGAAATACGGGCAGCCAGTCCCTGACTTCGTTAAAAATTTTGTGACTCTGAATATCCACTCCCATAGATATTTGTATATTTATCTTTATTTTTTTTTTTTACAGTCCAGGTCTCTTATTTCTTTTTGTACATCAGGCCATGAATTCGTAGGGAATGGGCTCCAGCAGCTCAGGTTCCTTGCCGTTAGTCCTCACAAAGTGTGCTTCTCTGGGTGGAGCAGGCTGGCGCTTCAGCTGAACCCAAGTGCCCTTCTCTTTGGCTTCCTTTTTCTTCTGGTCGTTTTCCTTCACCCGCTTCAGGAAGCTGTCCCTGCTCTTCGAGTGCTTGATGTGTTCAATCCTCACATTAATTCTCTTGGCAAGAATCTTGCCCTTAACTTGCTTGTTTACAATGATGCCCACAGCATGCTGGGTGACATTGTAGACTCTTCCGGTTTTGCCATGGTAACATTTATGGGGCATTCCTTTTTGAACAGTGCCCATTCCCTTGATGTCTACAATATCGCCCTTCTTGTAGATTCGCATGTACGTGGCCAAAGGAACAACTCCATGTTTCCTAAAGGGCCTAGAGAACATATAGCGAGTGCCCCTCCTCTTTCCCTTTGTGTTTGTCATTTTGGCGAGTTACAACCTGAAAGCTTGTATATTTATCTTTAAAATAAATATAACCACTGGCAATTCCTCCAGTTTTCCTAGCTCTTAAACGGCATGAAATAAAGATAGCGTGAACAATGTGGAAAGTCACACAGGAGACAGGCACCATTTGGAAACAGAAATAATGTAAACTCAGAATACTGATAGTCTTTGTTTGCAATGGCCTGGATGTGACAGCTGGACACTAATTTCAAATCTGCTCTCGACCTGGCTCGGCTGCTAGGATCCCCAGCTACCCAGAACCTAAGAAATTCTCCAGACTCTAGAGAGTCCTTCTTAGTCCCTACCCAACTGAAATAAGAATGCCCTCCATGTGAAGGTGAGGTTCACAGTGTCTCTGTCTGCTCCAGTCTAGGACTGAACCACGGTAGCCTCACTGCAGCGTTTATGATCTTCTCTTCTAGGGCTGAGCCCATTTTGTCTCGGATTCAGGAAGACCACACTGTGGTTGTGTCTCCTGTGTTTGACAATATTAATTTCAATACATTTGAGCTGGAAAAGTATGAACTGGCAGCAGATGGATTTGGCTGGAAGCTGTGGTGCCAGTATGATCCCATACCACAAGCCTGGATTGACGTGGGTGTTGTCACTGCTCCAATGACGTAAGTGTGAGTCTGCCGAGAGACCGTACTCAGGATGCACTGGGCAAGACTTGTCTGTCTTTGATGATTAGAATGGGGGTAAAGTGGAGGAGCAGATACAGGACAAGAAAAACATGTAACAGTGATAATAATAAAAACCCAAAGGTCTTCCCCAGATTAGAATTCAGAGACACAAATTGGATGGTGGTGGTGGTGCACGCCTTTAATCCCAGCACTTGGGGAGGGAGGCAGAGACAGGTATATCTCTGTGAGTTCAAGGCCAGCCTGGTCTAGAAGAGCTAGTTCCAGGACAGCCAGAGCTGTCACACAGTGAAACCCTGTCTTGCAAAACCTAAATCAATCAATCAATCAATCAATCAATCAATCAATCAGAGACATTTGGCATTATCTATGTTTTCAGACAAAAAAAAATCAAAGGTATTTAGCATTTTAGGAAGTACCTGAGGCCCCTTCTAGCATTATAAGATTCTGAGAAGGATGACAAAGATGCTATTCGAGCGTCACCTGTGCAGGGTGGCGACAGCACAGTTAGCATACCTTCAGGCCTGCACTTTCCTGAAAGCCTCCAGGACAAAGAGACTTTGGTAGGATTCTGAAGACCATTGTGGGCCTTCCCAGTCCTCCCCTCCATGCTGACCTGGTGCTTGGAGGGGATTAGTAACCCCCTTACCATGTACTCTGCAGGAGTCCGTCCATCATGGGCATCATGGCTGCCAACAGGATCTTCTTGGTGGAGATCGGGGCTCTGGATGGCGGGATGCTGGGCTATGGAGGAGAGAATGTGGAGCTTAGCCTGAGGGTACGTACTTGCTCTCTTCTCTATGGGACAAAGCAGAAGGGGATGGATTGGAAAGTCCTAGGAATTCTGGCATCCTAGAACTCAGCTGGGTGTTCTGGTCAAGAAATGGACAGATTGTCACGTTTCCAGGCTCCGAAGCTGAAGAGCAACTGGTAGGAAACAGGACTCTGTAGAGGAACTTTCTGATACAGTCATGTGTTCTGTAATCTGAGAGCTTTGGTGGTCGGTGGTAGAGTTGAGGCTGTGAAGTTGTCCCTTCTTCTCCAGAAGATCCCAGGTGTGTTGTATTTCTGGGCAGACACAAATCCTTACATCATTAATCAAAGACAGCAGAAATAGACAAAACACACCTTTACACAGTCACGTTCCACAGCGTAACCAAATGTAACACCTTTGCCCAGCTGAAATAATATTCCACAACACTTAATCATGTGGGACTTGTATTTTAGTTAGAACATTGCTTTCTGAGACAGGGTCTTAGTCATTAGCCTAGGTTGTCCTGGAACTCACTATGTAGACAACACCAGCCCTGAGCTCATGAGATTTTCCTGAGTCTTTCTAAAATGCTGGGAATACAATCATGAACACCTCCCCCCCCCTTTTTTTTTGTCAGGATCTCACTGTGCACTCCTAGATGACCTGGACCTGACTATGTTGATCTGGCTGGCCCTAAACTCGCGACAATCCTCCTTCCCCTGCCTCTTGAGTGCCAGGATTGCAGGTGTGGGTCACCTTACTGGGTGTTGGTGAACTTTTAGCAGGGAGCCCAGGACTTCATACTAGGCAATCACTCTACCCAGAGCTACACCTCGCCCGATTATAGGACTTCTTTTAAATATAATTTCTTTATTGAATCTTTGGGAATTTCACATCATGCACGCTAATTCTGCTCACCTCCCAGCCTCTCCATATTCTCCCCTCCCTCCTTCAGCAGCCCCGCAAAAAAGAAATTTTTTAAAAATCAAACTAAAACAAGCAAGCAAACAAAAACAAAAAGCCACGTTTCTTCACTCCTCCATCTTCCCTGCTTCTCCAACACTTCTTCATCCTGCTGGCATTGGGAGTTGAGGTTGTCACACAGTAGACCCTTTTGTCCAAACTTGCAAATGTTCTTGGTCTGGTTCAAGGCCTCTGGTTTCTGGTACACCATCATCACTGGATCCGCACCAAACCTCCTCTCAGCTATCTTGCAGCGGCTTTGGGTCATGGAGATCCTGCGGGCACCATTCCACAGGACCGGTTCCTTCCTGAGCTCCTGTAGGTCCAATATCCACATCTAGATGGTGTAGATGTTAAGGTGGGCCAATCTCAGGTTGGACTGTGGTCCTGGGTGGTAGTGGAGCTGGTCACTGGAGTCACCCACCTCAGGTGAGGGGTAGAGCCAGCTCCTCTATGGCCATGCCATTAGCACTGGTTCTCCTTCACCCATTGTGAAGGGTGGGGCCATCTTTGCTGAGTGCGTGTGGGGGGGTACATTCTCTCATGAGGGTTGGGACAAACTTTCTTTCTGTAATGTCCAGTGAGGGGCAGGGCCAGCTATCCCAGGGCCAGTAAAGGGTGGGACCAGCCCAGTATGGCCCTCTGAGGTGACACAGGCCGCAGATACGAACACAGACCCCCAACTGTAACAGAACCATGGACCCAGACATGGCCCTTGGCAGCATCTTGGGCTTGGACAACTTTCTTGCTCCTGATGGATGCACAGGCCATTCAAATCAGGATAGTTCTGGTGGTGGCATGGCCCTGGATACCAACAAGGCCACCGGTTGTGGCCCCACCTCTGGACTTCTCATGTAACCTTTGGTGGCAACATGGGTCTTAGACTTCAACAAATACCCAGAATGCAGAAGGACCACAGACCCAGACACGGTCCTCAGTAGCTGCTAGATCTGGGTGTCACCATTGCCCCAGGTAGCATTACAAGACATTCAGGTTGTCACAGCCCCAGTGACACAACTTTTGATGGTAGAAGGAACATCGGACATCAATACAGATCCCGGCTGCCAGGGACACGGACCTAGACATGGCCCTCGGCAGTAGTCCAGGTCTGGATGCCACCATGGCTCCAGGTGGTAGGACAGACCATCCAGATGGGCACGGCCCCAGCGAGAGCATGACTCCCGGACACTAACACAGACCCAGGTAGTGGCCCAGACCTCAGGAATCCACATGGCCCTCGTGGCAACAGGAGTCGCAGACACTGATGCAGACCCTGGCTGCAGCAGGGCCACTGTCTTCGTTAGGGTTTCTATTTGCTGAGACAAAACCCCATGGCCGAAAAGCATTGCTGGTCATCCCTGAAGAAAGTCAGGACAGGAACCCAAACAGGGCAGTATCCTGGAGGCAGGAGCTGATGCAGAAGCTGTGGGGGATGCTGCTTACTGGCTTGCTTCCCATGGCTTGCTCAGCCCATCTTCTTATAGAACCCAGGGCCACCAGCCCAGGGATGGCACCACCCACTATTGGCTGAGCCTTCTCCCATTGATCCCTAAATGAGAATATGCTCTCCAGCTGGATTTCACTGAGGCATTTCCTCAGCCGAGGCTCCTTCCTCTGATGACTCTAACTTGTCTGAAGTTGACACATAAAACCACCCAGTACATTCACAGACCCAGACCAAGCTCCCAGCCACATCCCTGACCTGAACATCACCACAGCACCAAACAGAAGCCTGTGCCACACAGATCTGCATGACTGTAGAAGGAGCAGCGGGTTGCGTTCCCACCTGGATCCCGGCTAGCTTACCCCCGAAATAATTACACGGAAACTGTATTCATTTAAACACTGCCTGGCCCGTTAGTTTCAGCCTCTTATTGGCTAATTCTCACATCTTGCTTTAACCCATATTTAGTAATCTGTGTAGCACCACGAGATGGTGGCTTACCGGGAAAGATCTTAACCGGCGTCCATCTTGGAGAGGAGAGCTATAGTGTCTGCCTCACTTCCCTTCTTCCCAGCATTCTATTCTGTCTACTCCACCCACCTAGGGGCTGACCTATCAAAAAGGCCAAGGCAGTCTCTTTATTAACCAATGAAAGCAACACAGAGACAGATAACCCTCCTCCATCACATGACCCCAGATACAGCTTGGCCCCAGGCACCAACATGGTCCCAGGTGGCTGACCAGACAACCCATTCAGGCCCCCATCTGCAACGGGAGTCACAGACATTGACCAGACTGGTTGCTGTAGGGCCATGAACCCAGAAATGGCCCCTGGGAGCAGCTCAGGCCTGGATGACACCATGACCCTGGACAACACAGACCACCTAGATCAGCGTGACTCTGGTGGTGGCATGGCTCTTGAATACCCACATGGCCACCAGTGACAGCTCAGACCTTGGACATCCTTGTGGCCTTTGGTGGCAGCGTGGGCCATGGATGTCCACATGGACCCTGGCTGTAGTAAGATCGTGGACCCAGACATGGCCGTTGGCAGCACCCCGGGCCTGGACCTTACCATGGCAGCAGGCATCGAGAAGGCCTCCCACATCTGCCTCCTCCTCACGGTTGTCACCTCTTCCCTTCTGCCTCCTTCACAGTACAGGAGCCATTCTGCTCCCCCCTCTCTCCCATTTCTCCACCCCACACTCATCTACCTCAAAGTCCACCCCTACAATGACACACTTCCTCCAATAAGGCCATACCTCCTAATAGTGCCACTCCCTTTGGGGGCCATTTTCTTTCAAACTACCACAAGGACCTTGCATATTGTTTTATATAATGATCCTAACAACTTGCATTCTTGTCCCAGCGTGTAAGAGTTCCGTTTTCTTCAGGTCCTTGTCAGCATTTGCTGATTTTTGTCCTTTGGATAGCAGGTCTTCTAACAGGAAGAAGTGACACATCATTGTGGGTTTGAGTTTTCATTTTCCTGATGGGTAGTGTGCCCAGCATTTCCCTCTGGCCATCTGTGGGGATCTGCCTTTCTTTAAGAGCAGAACCTGGAGAATACCGGAGTGGTATGGACTGCTCATCTTCTGACAGGTAGTGTTTCATTCATGCCTGTGGATGTGTGTGTTGGGGGTGAAATGAGGAGTAGGAAAAGGGCAGCGTTCATGAAGCTCCTGTATCATAGGCGCTGTGTCAGAGAGTGACGTGTGGACTACTGGGTTCATAATCTGGCTGTCACATGCTCCCTGACAACTATGGACATGTTATTAAGTGAGGATAAAAAGAATACCCGTGTGTTCTGCATGGTGAGGGTTAAATTCACGAGAATCATTAGGACAGGTGTTATGAGCAGAAACTTCACGTCTGTGGAAGGGGTGAGAGGCAAAGCGACAGACTGGAAAGTGAAAACACATTGGGAGAGTAAAATCGGAGGTGGGGCTTCCTGCCTGGGATGCCAGCACACAGGAGGCTCGGGCAGGATTGCTGTGAGTTCAAGGGTCAGTCTGGGCTCTGAAGGGAGATCCTGTCTCAAAGAAAGGAACAATATGATATAAGCAAATAATCAAGCATGAGGATTTTATCTAGGATCCCCAAACCTCACATAAGATGCCTGGCATGATGATGCATGCCTGGCACCCCAGTCTTGGGGTCCCTGAGGCTCATTGGAAGCCAGCTTAGTTCAGTGGATGAGCTTCAGGTTCAGTGAGACACCCTGGGCAGACTCCCAGAGTCACCGTGGATCTCCATATGTGTATACATCTATATAAACCTGTGTTTAAATGCAGCACTTATAAACACATTTTAATTAAAAACAAATAAACTAATGAATAAATAGCCAAGTTTAAAATTGTTCAACAAGAACAATTGTAAAATCTATTATTTTATAAATAATATTTATTTTTAATGTGGATGCAGAGGTTCTTATGCAAACTGCTACATTTTTTTCATTTCCTAAATTTACATGAATTGTAAAATCCCATCAACTGTAAAAGCTGAAACAAAAGCTTAATGTTCTGTGCTGTTTTTGAACAGGGTCTTGCTTTTTGTCCAAGCTTGCCTTGAACTCATGGTGATCTCCTACCTCAGAATCTCTTGTACAGCAATTATAGGCATGGGCCAACATACTTTACCCTGTACTTGAATTTTTTAGAAAATTATTTTCTGCATGTTGTTATTTTGCCTGTTCTCTGCACCACATGTATGCAGTACCTCTGGTGGCCAGAAGAGGGCATCAACTCCCCTGGAATTGGAGTTACAGACAGTTGTGAGCAGCCTGGTGCCTGGAATCTAACTCAGGACATCTGGGACTCTAGACCACCACGTCATTTCTCCAGGCCCCAGTGTTTGAATTTGAATTCTTAAATGGTTGATTGGAAAAAAAAAAAACCAAGCCAGAAACAAATTAAAGTAGTATATAACGTCTACAAGATCCGAGCTAATGAGAGAAGACAGAGTAGGACTTGAAGGAAAGATCTGCCTTTGTTCCCTTGCCGGAGCCACCAGCTGCTGCACTTGGTACACCATCAAGTCCTCCTAACAGCCCCAAAGGCAGCTGACTCTCTCTGCTCATGAGTGAGCAGAGGCTCAGGAAGGTGGCGATTTATCTAACTAGGCAGCTGTGGAGTCGAGATGGGAGCCTGACTGTTGAGGGAGGAAACTCCTCTGTGGATCGAGAGCTGAAGGAGCAGGAGATGAGGGCCGCCAACTCGGAGTGGACTTGATAAGATTCATTCCTCGGGTGGGCACACTTCAGCTGTGCTAACTGAATTGGCATGGGATGGGCCAGCAGCTCTTGGGTCAGGGCAGGGTGTACAAGGCTGCCAACCTAAATTGGAGTAACTTGCCAGAATTTTGCCAGAAGTTGCCACCGCTTGAGGTCACCATGAGGAGCAGACCCAGGAAATATGGTATCAGCTCAGTAGAATGAGAAAAATCTACTGTCACCAAAACCGTGTTTTGGGGGAAGTTGGAGAAATGGTTCAGTGGTTAAGAATATGTAGTGTGTTCGATTCCCAGCACCCATGGCAGGCAGCTCACAACAACTTTTAACTCCATCTTCAGGGGATCTGATGCCCTTTTCTAGTTTCTGTGGGCATCTGTATTCTTATACACACACATATCATTTAATCACGAAAATAAATCTTCGAAAATCTCACATTTTGATGCCAAATATGAGCACATATTTTCAGACAGTGAGCCGGTGCTCCAGA